AACATGAGTGTGTATCTGAATCTATTTCTGATTTGAAGTCTGAATATGTTTCTGATATAAATTCTGAATCCTAACTTGTGCTGGATATCATTCATTAAAACCCTTTACCTAGTTATTATTCACTAGGCTCTAGCTCACTGTATTATTTATATGTATGTAGGTGGGCAAGCGCGTGATCATGCCTGAGATACCGCCTAGCGAGTTTTGGTGTCAGCTAGCCATCATGCCTCCCGTGGAGGTTCCTTTTGAGATCTACCCGAGTTTGTAGTCGTTGGGACTTTTGTATTTCTGAAATGTTTTTGTCTAGCCTGAATACGTAAGAATCTTGTATATGTGGCTTGGATGATGTAAGGCTACTGTATTTTAATGCCTTATATGTATGTATGCAAACATGTATATGAAAGTTTCAAATATTCTGTCCCATATATATCTGCACGGCTCTATGGACTATGTAACTTTGTATATTTGCTTCCGCAGCCCCTGTTATACATATTATTCCGTTCAGAGGCCTTCTGTAATCCAAGGATTACTGGCCGGTTACGATGCTAAATCCTTAGGGGCGAGTTTGGGTCGTGACATGGAGCTCCCTCGTCGTTGCTTCTCCCTCCTTGGTGACTTTTCTACTTCGCTCCCTCTTGAAGACTTGCTTCAACGATGGGGGGAGCGACGCCTCTCACGCTCCTCCGACGTCCTATTACCCGTTCGTGCGGGTTCGCTACCAGCCCCTTGATTAATCTCTGAGTCCAGTTCAGCTAGCGTCTTGCCTTCCCCTCTATTAATGAATATTTTTGTTGACATACGAATCTCTTCAGGTTGACGTAATGCTCTTTTCCTTCTCGCACTTTGCTGGATCTAAGCAGTATATATTTAATGACAGCACAAGCCCCACACGCGCCTGGTCTCCCCCGCTTATTAATTATGGATGCAGCGTTTACGAAGCAACTGTTTACTTATATATTCGGCGGTTATGCTCTATGATTAGCTGGGGCAAGGGAAGATTTATTAATCTATTCGGCTTATCTTCTAGCATTTTGCCGAATAATTGCAATGCCCCACTTGATCCAATGAACATGATTCGTCCATATATTCGGCGGTTATGCTCAGTGATCAGCTGGGGTGAGGACAGATTTATTAACATATTCGGCCTATCTTCAAGCATTTTGCTGAATAAATACAATGCCCCACCTGATCCCATGAACATGTTTCGTCCATATATTCGGCTGTTATGCTCAATGACCAGCTGGGGCAATGGAAGATTTATTAATCTATTCGACTTATCTTCAAGGATTTTGCCGAAAAAAGACAATGTCCCACTTGATCCCATGAACATGTTTCGTCCATATATTTGGCAGTTATTATTAATCTGTTCGGCTTATCTTTAATCATTTTGCCGAATTAAGATGTAAAAGTCATGATCTTAATTGATATGGCATATTTTTGTTTTTCAATACTTAATGATTAACATTCATAAACAAAATGAACATTTTCATTAATAAACTATATGAGTACATCCACTTTATACATGAAAATGGCCTACATACAAAACAAAGCTAACTAAAACTAATAAGAGCTGAATATCCATTACAAAAAAGGCCAATCAAAAGTCCAAATCCTCTAGATCCGATTCCAGCGGTTCGACTTCTAATTGTTCATAAGGAATCGGCCGATCAAGTGTCACCTTAGCAATCGCCAAAGCTTTGAGTCATCCATGTTTGAAGCCTCGATTCTCAAACTTCAAGGCTTCATCAGCGTACAACTCCTTGGCCTTCAGCTGGCTGACATCAAAGGCTTTAGCCGCGTCTGCCTCAGCGAGCTCTCTCGCCTTCTTCTCTACTTCAAGATCGGCCTTCATCTGGGAGATTTCTTCTTGAGCCGACTTTAGAGAGCTGTCTATCAAGTTAGCTCTCTCTTTGGCGGCTCTGTGGAGCAAATCAGCGTGTTGAGCTTTCTCTTAAGCAGTAACTGCCTTGCCTACTCTTCTTCGACTTTTGCATTCGCTGTAGACAAATTGGCGATTGCCACAATGGCTTTGCCCTTCTCTTCCTTTAGCTGGCATTCAAGGACGCCGAATAGCTCTACGATGTCGTAGTGACGACGGCCAATCTCTGCGATCCTTCTCACCTTCTGGAAAAACAATGAAGTTAGTTTGAGTAGGAACAAGTATTTAAGCTATTTGGAAATTTGAGGTGTTTTAATAACTTACCAAAATGGCCGACTGTGCTGCCAAGGCAATCGAGATGACAAGTTGCTCGGTTTGCTGACAAACAGAGCGCCGAAGCCATACTCAGGGCCATGGCGGGATCTCCGATCTCGACCCATTGGTGAGCACCAGCGCATTCTTCATCCGTGGTTAGATGACGAATGCCTCAGCCAAATCATCTTCGACGGACGGCATATCCGCCCTTGGCCGTTTCTCAATCGGCTCCTCTAGTAAATCGATTATAGTCTCTGCAAGTTACTTCTGTCTTGTAAGATCGACTCCTTAGACTTCAGCTTGATTTTGTTCAGGAATAAATTCAGCCATAGTTGTTTTGTGGGCCATTTATTCTTGACGCACCTCATGAGTTAGCGCTATTTGGCTTCCCTCAGAACTGCCAACTTGCCTCCTGGCCGCCATTTTCTCTGCATTTCGTCACCTGGCAAATTGAGCAAGTGATTCTCTACTCATCTCTTCGGCTTCGGATTTGGCCCCGAGAAGATTTTCTAAGCTGGTAAAGATATCGTCCTCTAGAGCAGATAAGTCTACTCGCCCGGAAATAGAAGGGAGATCGGTGCAATGGTCTGGGTCGATATGCTTAAACGCCAAGTCAATTTCTCTATTCAACTCTTGGTCCCCTGCACGGTCCTCTGATTGTACGTCTTCACCAACCTCCTCGCCGATCTCTTCGCCGGCGTCGAAACCCTTGATACCAATATCCCTTAGATTTTTGTAGCCAGGGAAGATAAGTACAGTAAGCTGCCATTCGTGTGTCAGCATAGGGATATTATTTGCAACCGAGAAGGTGGAGTAAGTTGGATCGAATCTCAGCAAAATGTGGGTTGCACGCCCTTGTCCTTGAAGGTTTGCATAGCCTTTGTAATTGAGTTAACCTGCTCTAAAACGGCTTCGTCCGCGGATGTCAATGCTCTTTTCAAGTCGTTGCCTGCAAGAAACACAAGTGATCAGCACAGTATCTAAGCTGAATAAACTGTTCATTTTAAGACATGTTAGCAATTCCCACCGGCCACCTGGTTTGCCCTACTGCCTTGGCACTGGGTCTTGGTGATCTTCTCCTTCGTCGAATTCCCAATTACCTCGGACGATGACCATAACATCATTAACCCTTTTGCCAGAGCTAGCGAGTATGGTTACCAAATGATGGCCAACATCCTTGGCTCCTAAAAAGTAATGGCCTTGCCGACCGGTTGATTTCGCCACAACGTAGTAGTGTCGATTAGTTGTGATTCCTAGGTTAAGACCCAGTTGGTGATTCAATTCTACTATGTCCATGATTATACGGTAAAAGTTCACATTTGGCTGGAAGGGAATTAATCCCCAGTAACGTAGGACTGTCCTAAGAAGAGGATGGAGGGGGAATCGAACTCCACCCTTTACAATTGCCAAAAGAGAAAAGTTAATGGTGCTTGTGTTGGCCCTGTCCATGTCCACCACATTGTCTGAAACAAGGGATAAGTGAACTTCGTCTGGAATTGAAAAGTGACGACGGAAGGCTGTAACTCGATTATCAGAAATGAGAACATTCAAATGCCTTGCCATTTGAGATGAAATGAAAACAACGTGTACAAAAGACAAAAGCAAAACACGCAGGGAAACTGAAATGAAGAATAGAATGAGAAGAGAAAGGGGACTTACAGGCTGAGGAAGAAGACGAACGGTAAGAAGTGGGGTTGCAGAGGTCTTGAAGGAGGTTGATGTAAAGGATGCTCAAAGGATGTTAATAACCTTTCAATTCAAGAGTATACGGGCTTAAATAATGTTAATAGCCTTTTGATTCAAGTGTATACGGAGGTACAGATTTTAAAAACGCATTAAATGAATGTCAAATACGAAGGGGTGGGAAGTTGTAATGATTTAAGTAGCGCGTCTGCTTTGATGGCTCTGACGAATTAGTACGAAAAGGAGTGCAACCGCCGTATCTCTGTCTTTCGAGGGTTTTTTGTTTCGTTGGCCGAGAAACCAAACACGCCGAGTAAATATGTTATTCGAATGTTTGGGGAGAAATTGTGGGGGCCGAATAAAAGTGCCCTTAGTTAAGCGGTTCAAATAGGACGTCGAGAAGACTGGTGAGGCTAACTCGGCATGACCAGACTCGTCTGAACAAGATTAAGACCGAGTAGAATCTATCCCGCGGGCCAAGTATGTTGAAAACCTTCTAGCGTATCTGGGGGTCCCAGATACGATGGTGAAAGGTGATGATGGGAAAATGGGCCCTTAGAGAACAATATAAAAATGAGAAGTGTCAACCAAAGTGAGGTATGTAAAAAAAAAAAAAACTTGTGAGAGAAGAAAACTTGAGAGAATACTGATTTGTCTGTCAGAGTGCTAGTTTCGGCACTCCCGACCGGAATGTTCATTTCCATTTCAGGTAGCAACTTGAGGATCAAGATCGTTTGTCTGGATCAAAGAGTATTTCCAAATTACTTCACCACAGTTCCCACAAGATGAATTGTTTAAATCACCAAAATAGGCCATCGAGCCTGAGCAGCACTTGTTCCGTCGATGATGGTTTACCTTATGTAATTTATCCTATGTAAGGCCAATCCTATTATAAACTTAAGTTGTTTTCGAAACATGGGTTCTTTTGGGAAGAATTAAAAAAAAAAAAAGTTAAAAGTCAATTTTTAATTTATTTTGAATCATATATCACTCATATTTTTTTATATATTTTTTTAAAAATAAATTAAAAAATTAACTTTTAATTATCAGAATATTGTCTAATATTAGTTAAATGAATCATCTCGTCTTCTAACATGGATGAGTCAACAATTTTGCGTAAAAATTTTCACTAGGAATCATCTCCTTCACTAGTCAATAATTACCCCTTGTTTTGCTCTCCAAATTTGTTTTGTTAGCCATATCGACCCAACCGCCCATAGCACCAAGCAAAGATGACTGCCAAGGTTGAAAAATGCCGAAACCTCGCAAATTTTTTATACCATAGGCGCATCAACCTTGCCATCCGCCACCGGCGTTTGTTACACAATGGCCCAGACACAATTGATGAGCTATTGGACAGACACGTTGTGAAGAAAGAGAAAAACTACAAGGATGATGAAGAAAATGAGCAATTGACTCGGCAGCGACTCACCAGCACTCGTCGTGAGGCACTGAGTCTCTACCGAGACATCTTTCGAGCCACTCGGTTCTTCATCTGGTCAGACACACGAGGCATGTTGTGGCGTGACGTTCTCAGAGAAAATGCCCGAAAGGAGTTCGAGGCGGCCCGGTTTGAGAAAGATCCAGAAATCATTACTCGTTTGCTTATTGGCGGGCGTGACGCTGTGCAATCGGCTCTCAATAAGCTTGCCGAGAAACAAAGAGAGCAGATTGCCAAGGAACAAGGCAATCAGAATCGTCACTGATTACGGTAATTTCTTCATTTTGTACTCGAAATTGATGTAGAAGATCATGTTAATGTGTTCAAGTTTCTTATTATCGATCAAAGAAGTTAATTTTTGATTCTTGAATTTTGCCGTTACTTCATTTCAAATTGGGGGTATTAAATGGAAGGAGACACAAGAAATATTGGGCATGAGTTTTTCTTGTCTTCGGAGTCAATGTGTGAAATATTGTGGTTTACATTTTCTTGTGTAGCTAAAAAATTTGGGGATTGTTTGCAGTATAGAGTTATTGCATGGCCTTGTTCTCGATTTTATGGAGCTTTAGTTTACTATGAAAGATCTGTTCAGTTTTTTTTTTTTTTAATCTTAGCTTTCTTTTAGAGGTTGGAATTGGAACAATTTAAGTATAAATTCTTTGTTGCTAAGGGGTTTAGTTGGGAGGTTATGGGCTTGCAATTTGCCATAAACTTGTGGGCTGGTGTACAATTGATGTTATCTTGAAGATCCTAGGGAGAAAAGTTTTGTAGTTGGGAGTGAAAATTGTGAAATGCATATGCACAGGGAGAATGTGATGTTTGACATATGAAACAAATGGATTAAGGCTGAACAATGGATAGGAAACACCCATTTTTTTTCTTGATTCACCATTATAGAACCTTACAAATTGCTAGTGTGTCTTCAGGGTACTTGGTCAGAGTTTGATGAATGGCCTAGATTTTCTTATAGAGATAGCTAGGTTCTAGAATAGAAATGGGTTTGAAAAAGTTAATCTTTTCTTCGAGGTTAGGTTGGCAATAGAGGACTTAGTTCTCCCGGAGTCCCGGTATAGATGAGGTTACTTTGTGGATATTATGAGATCTAATCTTTGTTGCCGTGAGGTGTGAGTGTTATGTGCTGTTTCATCAAGTTGATTTTGGATTGTCAATTTTGCAGAATTAACCCCATCAGCCCATCTAGGAATGAATTGCTGCTTACATGCATTTGGTGGTTGAGACGTGGAGATCTATTCGTATAGGTGACAGCCATGAAACAGTCATTCAGGATTAGGCATTAAGCAGTTGAATTTGGCGATTAGAGGATAGTAATGTCTTCTCTATCTCTCTCTCTCTCTCTCTCTCTCTCTCTCTATTTTTATTTATGTAACCCTTAGTTTATGCCTTAATTGGCCAGGGTTTTGTCTAGAGGATCGAAGGGAGAATCAGACTTTGCCTAAATGAGAGAGAGAACATTAATCTTATTTGCTTTGCAGCCAACAAACGGTGGCCTTATCCAGATCTTGGAGATGGGAATATATTAAAGGCAGAGCTGAGTGAAAGATAACGGGATCAGTTTACCTATTGTTAATAAAATCTCACCTTCAGGCCTAAGTTGCCCTTTATCCCATTTTAGGTAATAGAAGTGAGTGATGTCAGATCATATTTCGGGTTATTTGCTGACCAATTTTCTTATCACAACCTTAGTTTATCAAAAACTAATATCTTTAGTTGTTTTGATTGACAAGGTTGTGTTCTAATTTGGTCCTTGCAATTTACTTTTTCCAGTCTGACATTGACATGGTAGGCTAGGCAGTCATGCTGGGAAGCTGGTGAACTCACTGTGACAAAACTTGTTAGCTACTTATGTTTATCTTAATTTTTTTTTATTTTAACAGTGGCTAAAATGGATGTGATGCTGACATTGTCTAGAAAGAATAGGAGTGTGAAATATAATGCAGGTCCACACAAGAGTGGATCTTGATTAGCTGGAATAGAAGCCTGATTGTGAAGTTGAACCAAACAATCTGTGGCATTTATCTATGTTTAAGAACTTATTTCATGGGCACCACAGCATTAATTTTTGGTTTTTTCTCTTAGTTTGTTTGATTGTTAAATGGCCAGGTGCTTGGCAAGGAACGAGTTGAAAAAATAAAAAAAAATAAAAACCTTATTTTTTTCCTTTTTGGTAATGAATTTCCATATAGAGTTTCTGTAGATGTTGGAGCCTTTTTTTTTTTTTTTTTTTTTTTTTTTCGTACTTTTTATCTCAAAAATTACTCTACAAATACAAACCAAACACACCTTTAGTGTTACTAGTTGGACCCACACGCGCTCTGTGCATGGGGGTCGCATTGCTGTTGGTTGACATAATATAGGAATGACATGATAATTATGTTTTGAAGCATATATGAACGTCATTCAGTTTGAACCTGAAACAAGAATAGTTGTGTGACGGTAAAATGGACTAGCAAAAGGTTTTCAATGACTGCTACTTCTGCTCTTCATTCTCTACAAATATCTCGTATATATCAGGTCACCTTTTATCTTGAGAAGCTTTCAGCAGTTGCTGCAGCACTTCTGGACCATGCCCACCACACAATCAGAACCATTAATCTAAAAACAAGCAACCAGTGTTTTAAGGATTTAATCCTCAAATTCATGACCATCATAAAAAATTATAAAATAAAAATTAGATCCATATCAAGCGGTCAAATGAATCAGATAAAGACATTACAGAGGTCTAGCATAGAGCACTTTTTTGAGTTCTTCATTGCCTTCACAAGCACCACCATAACTTTTTGCCTGCATATTTATATATGTCATTGTATTGAACAGGATAGGTACAATTCTTGATCTCTTGCTTGGGACTAACAGATAAAGCATTACCAGAAGGAATGGAAACCTAGCTTTTGGATCTTTAATTATACATTAGTGATAGAGTTACACTTGGTCACACCCTGTAGCACCATACAAAATATTGTTTTTTTTTTGGCCTAGGGACTGTCTCTTGATGGTTCAACTTTTTGAACCTCAATTCGTTTGCATCAAGATTGCTATTTTGGGGTGCATGTAAGAATTTCTAACTCCTGCATTTTATGGGAATTGTTGTGTTGGTAGACAGAATTTTGTTAAACAATTGATTAAATTTTTTAATTTTTTCCCCCCAATTGCTAGAAGTTTGGAATTCCTAACTTGAATTTCCACGCAACAAATAGGCTCTGATTGGTATTATATTCAGAATTGAACTTAAAAAAAGTTAATAATAAACAGACAATAGTTTTACCCAAACAATGCCCTATCAATAGCAACAAAAAAAGATTTAGTTATAGTGCTAATGCCAATGCAGCCTAGGTCTGTTTCTCAGTCAATGCACTAAATGCAAAATCCACATGGACACATTTTGAGATTTGGTAACTATCATTCAAAGAGAGGACCACATTGGGATTAATGTGCAACACAACATGTAGGCGCATTGCTATCACCAAAAACACCAAATAATTCATAGAGACAATAATCTGCATAGTCCATATACAAGAAATTGCAATTGCAATGAATTGATTGGAATGTTTCACCCGCGTTGAAGCGTTTGTATAGGCATAGGAAAAGACTACCATACATCTTTCATGTAAATCCTTGTTACTTTTAAATTAAAATAAACATCAAAGAAAAGAAAAAAAGAAAATACAAATAACAAAGAGGAGAATGATATTTTTAAAACGTAGTTGTCCATATGTATGCTACTACAATTGATTTGAACAGATTATACCATCTGCTGTGCTTTACAATCAAAGCCACTTGTCTTAGTTTCTTAGTGGCAAGTGGAAAGCAGACATTAAGTTAGAAAATTGGCCATAAAACCATATCTTGATTCTCCAGTGACTACGGTCGCATCCTCCCAATAAAGAGAATTAAGTTTGAGTCTCCATAATTTACCAATAATATATATATTTGCTTTTTAGGTGCGATCTTATGTTCAGTATCTTACCAAGCTGATGACCAACTAATGAAATTACAGTGCAGTTTATGTGAAGAAAGCAAGCTTTTCTGTATAGGGACACTTTAACTTAGACTGATATTTGTCGTTGTAGAAAAGTATACTCCTTTGTTGGATTAAGTAACATTGCTATACCAAAATAATATCCTAAAACATTATCTCTAGCAGTGAAAGATCCTTAAATAAAAAAAGAAAAAAAAAACTGTGTGGATGGATGTCTGTGAAGAATAATTTTTCTTATCTGTTTTTACCTCATGCCAAGGCCAAAAAAAACTACAGTTTTGATTTACAATAAAATACCTGTAATTTATCCAATAACTGTAATCGATCCTTCTTTTCTGTGGTTGGGAGATCTTTCCGAACATAATTTAAGACCTGAAACAAAAAATACAAGGTACCTCATTACCAATAGGTGTATCCTATGTTACCTAGAATGCGGATCAGTCCAGTACATTGAACGGGACTGTGGTACGCCATATGCTCTAAAACGTGGTATGATAGGAGTAGAGTTATATATATTATACTTAAAAATTGAAGGTACTTCAAGAGTAATTTTCTTTTAACTATTAGGCATTCAAATTTTTTTTTTCTTTTTTTTTTCATGTAGCAAATCATTTCTATGAAAATTATGACTCATTTTTTTTATTTTTTTGTCTCTTGTCAAAACTCAACTCACCTTAGATTTTAGTTCATATATTTGATTTTTTTCCTCCTACCACGTAAAGAAACATATTGGAAAAAACTTTTGGGATCACTTTGGATCACTAAGGCCTCGTTTGTGATGCTACTTTTTTAGCCAATTAGCCAAAAAGTTACTAAATTAGCCAATTAGCCAATTAGTCATACCAAAAAGTCAACAATTACGGCTTCTCTTTACTTTTTGCACAGCTTTTCGTAATTAGTCAAAAAGTCATCCCAAATATACAAGTTTTTTTTACCTACCTTTTTAGCCAATTAGCCAAAAAGTTACTAAATTAGCCTGTTCCCAAACGAGGCCTAAATTTACTATTTTGGAACGAAGGTGTACCATTGTTCGGAACATGCGTACCAATACTTAAATTGTTAGGGTATTACCGTTTTCTAGTAACATAGGGTGTATCTACTGTTGGAATTTCAAAATGTGGCAATTCCTAAAAGAATTCCTACAAAATACTCACAGAAAATTAGGAAGAAGTATAATTATTTGGGGACATAGATAGAATGTTTGTTCGAATGGGAATGTCTGAAAGCCAACGGGGGCAGTCCTAAGGAAATCTAACACTCTAAATCCCAATTTAAATTTTGAACCATTGTCCACAATGAATACTAAAGATGGAAACTAAAACTGATTTTTGACACAGATCTTGCTAATGTTTATGTAAACATAGGTCACCTAGCCCTTTGGTTCCTACTATGAGCTACATAAAAAGGGGGCAGATACATTTGTCTCACTTCTACAACCAAAAATTAAACAACTAAAACAGGAAACCGGTCAAAACTAAAAACAACACAAAACACAAGCCTCACTTCCACAACCAAAAAATAAACAACTAAAACAGGAAACAGCTCAAAACTAAAACAAAAAAACAAAACACAAAAAGTTGTCACCATTGCCTGATTCACCATTGATGAACCACAAGCAACATATGTAAGAAACAAGAATCTAGTGTTTTGGTTTATGTTAGTTCAATAAAAGACCACATTCAATTCATATGGATCACAAAATGTATGCACATTTCTATCACACAACGCCAAACATGCAATGAGCACAACAATCTACATATATATAGAGCAATCTACATACCTCAATTGTGTTCGGATACCTCGTTCTTCCCCCAACAGTGTTGCGTTTGTTAGTGGAGGAGGAGGAGAGCAAAAGGTTGGCATTGGTTACGGTTTTCCGATAGTTGGAAGAGAGCGAATGTTTCAACACCAATGTTACAAGAATGCAACATAAAATGGAGTATTTCGTTTTCTAGAAGCTAATAACTGCATAGAGGAACTCTCTGGACAACATATATGGAGCTTTTGGGTCGGCTCCCTCTGCAACCACCAACAGACCCCTCTCTGCAAGCCACATGGTAAGCTCTTGTGAAGACAGCTCAAATGTCTCCAAAGCCACACCGCCATAGAAGATGGAACGTAACAGAAGAATAAGGGCACCTACAGAAGTGCATTTGTTGCTACAAGGGAATAATCATCATATGAAGCGCTATGACGCGTAAAGCTTGTGTTTTTTTTAAGTATTTTTATAGATTTTGAGTGTTGATCATTTACCTGTGTAACTGATGCTTTTGAGTTTGTAGTTGTTTTTAACTAGCTATGCCCAAACATAACAAAAATGCTACAGACCCCCAAGGACCAATTCACATGGTGCTTTCAAGATATGTGAAAGTGTAATAAGGACCAAGTTCTGTTGCTAAATGTTTTGTTGTGTGTTCAAAAGAAGGGCTAGATTTATCTTCTTGATACACCAGTGACATCATCTTTAAATGTCGAGTAGTTTTTAGTAAGTGCATGTCTGGGTGTATTTCCATTGGCCTTTTGATATGCAATATATGTATTTACCTTTTACTCGGCTTGATGTTTGGCATGATCTTCGTACTCCAATCTATTATCAGGTGGAACATATATCTACCTCAAGTAATATGGTCTCTATTTCATCTATTACTGCTTAGTTTTCCAGGTCAACTAATTGTGAGTTGTTAAACACTACTTGTCTCATGTGTTGCTCAGAGAGTTTCCTATAGTGGAAATAATATTACTGTTACTTGCACTATTTAGAACCAGTGCTTTAGAATTTAGATTGTAGATTGAATGCATCTGATGGTTATCAAGGTTCTGGTTCAGATTTATGGTTATGACAGCTGCCGAACTCATCTGAGTCTCCTTGCTGATTTCATCATCTCACATAACCTATCTATCAGTCACCTCACATTGCATTAACCAACAACAAAACAAGCTCTTCATGGTTTCATCTCTCACAATTAGTTGGATTGCATTTGGAAATGGTGGCACTTCTTTCATTGGAACTTTGATTAGAGTGCTCTTTTATTAATTTTTCAGTTCTGTGTTGGACATGGAAGATAAAACCTTGCGCTTGTCATGTTCAATTCATCATCACATCCATTCCATTATATTCAGCAAATTGCAAGTTTGGTACCTTGATAACTCAGATGCGTTGTGTGTTTGGTTTTTAAGTGGCTTTCTGTTGCCATGTGGAAACAAGAGGGTTATCATAACTCTAGGCCATGTTTGAATAGTAGGAATGGAGAGGTGGAATGAAAATCTCATTCCAAGTCTCTACACGGAAAGTGGATATAATATAACTAAATAAATACGTAAATTTACAATGAGAGAAGGAACAAGCTCATCTTGCATCGCCTACCTAGTGACATTTAATGGGTATTCAATTTGATGTTTTCTTGTATATATTGTTTTGTTAATTTCTTTCTCCTTGCTGCTTATTGTAATGAGAATGCAGTTCATATGCTTTGAGATTGTAAATAATAGCCTTTTTTTTTTCCAGTGCTGTATGGATAATTCGACAAACAACATTCAGTATAGAATTGGTGGTGATCAGCTGCTTGTATTTCATATGAAAAATTACGGTGGTGCTACATACACCAATTAATGTATATACTAGTGTACCAACTAGTATTATGTCATTATTACTGACCTCACTTATTATACCAATTATAAATACTCAAAACTTTTAAAATTATGCCACATCATTTGTTAATATGCTAGTTAGTATATTAATTGGTACATATAACATTATTCGAAAAATTATTCAATACTTGTTCCATTCAAAAATGGTGGAATCAATCCTGTTTTAATCTGTCATGCTATTGTCTTTGGTAAGGTGGAGCTGCATGCAGGTGAATGCAATGGAAAATTTGGGTCATGCAGAAATTGAGGCATTGATGATGCCAAGTAGCTATTTAGAAAAGAGTGGTGCTATATCTCCCAAGATATCATTCTCATTTTAACATCTAATGAAGTGGAAGAGAGAGAGAATAGAAATAGGAGGGATGAGGAGTGTGAGTCTTTTCTCACATGGTCCATTTCATGTCATTGGAGGGGGATTGAGGGTGTTCAATTAAAATTTTCAAGCATTTTTCTTTGGAAAATCAATGAGTTATATGCTAAATTTTTTTGAAAGACCAAATTTACACTTTTAGCAGGTTCACTGGAACTAGGGTGAAATTGAATGGAATTGTCGTTTGTTTACTTTATAAAATTTACGGTCGTAAATAATGATATTGACTATGAGATGTTCATTCCCAAGGCCGGTCTTGAGATTTAGGGGGCTTAAAGCGAATTGCGGAAATGGGGCCTCTTATATTGAAAAAAAAAAAGTTCATGAATAAAACGATAAGTTACAATTTTTTTATTTGTTTGTAGCCACAAAAAAAATTACTTGCACATATAATTATTAAAATTATAAACAAAATAATTTAATGAAACAAAATTAGGGTAAAAAAATTACAAAAAAATTATTCAATTAAAACTGATAAAGACTTAGGTAAAAAAGTTGGAGCAAAATTGTTTATTCCACTAAAATCTAATGAATAAAGAAGGTTAAAAAAAAATAAAATTAGTGCCCATATATTGTATGTACTGTTATTCTTGGGCCCAAATACTTTTTTTTTTTAAATATATTTTCATTTTAATAAATATGGCCCAAACTACATTTATAAATAAATATGGACTAAACCATACATGAACCCAATAAAATATTTTAAGATCTTTTAAATTGATCTTAAAAAAAAATATTAGACCTATAACATTTTACTAAATTTAGAACATATTTTTAGGTTAAAATTTTAAGGCCTAAGACACAGGCCTTAGGCTAGGGCCTGATCATTCCGTTCTAGTAAACTACGCTAATCCAACGTATAATTTGTGCAATGAGATATCAATGTCTTTTACCCATGGCAGAATGCTTTTTTTGACAAGGACTTGAGATATCAATAATGTCTTTTATACATGCTTGATTTTAATGGGATGCAAAAATTTAGATTTTAACTGATACAACTGCTTTGCGAGTGATTGCATATATTTAAAATAAGATGTATTGAATGATAAGGTGGGCCGATTGTGATTGACAAAAGAAATTAATGGTGAATTTTGAGAGGGAAATTTGCAGGGGATTCTATTTGAACCTAAAATACAAAATATGTTTCGATAGGTCTAATTTAAATTCATAAATTTTAATTTTTAATATATTCTAATATGAATTTATTAAAAAGAACAACATATATTAAACTCCAAAATATTTTTTTTTTCCTCTTGGTATATTCTAATCAGTTATTTCTATTCAAATCTCTATATTTTCTTTCCCAAGATATCAAAGTTACTTCTTCTTCTTCTTCCCTCCTCCAAAACTTCAATCCATCCTATCAAAACTCACCATCATCATTAACATTATTGTTTTTTTATTATCTTGAAACCCTAAACTTAGAAGAAAATTTGAACGAAACCAAATAATGGATGAAAATGATAATCAAAATAGTTTTTTGAAGCAACCCATCAAAAAAGAAGTAAGTATTCATATAAAGGAGTTTCACAATTTTTGTAGAGCATCATTAATTATTTTCTATATCATTTTTTTGACAAAAATTAAAAGGCCTAGTAATTAAATTGACAATAACATATTA